CTCTAAAATTAGGAGAAACTGTGGTTAACCTCAGTTCGCGAGAACTTTCTCCCCTTGAAGAAAGAGTTTTAGATAGAGGTCTAACATTTATTCCGACATCTAAAACTCTTTCCCATGGACCAATTTTATCGTCGGTTGAACACGTCAATAGGACTTTTAAGTTAAATTTCTTTTTTCAGAATAGACTCGGCATATGCAAGCGAATACCGTTCATTGAAAAGTCTGGTTGGACTCCACCAGACAGCGCGATTGACTCAGATATTTTGGCTACTTGTGCTAAATTACATGAAGAAATATCTCATTACCTTTGGTGAATGAAAAACACAACCTCACCAAGTTTAAAAGGAAAGCTTTGAATAGCCTAAAAAACGATCAGAACATTATAATACGAAAGAGTGACAAAGGCAGTTGCTGTGTCATTCAGAATCGCGAAGACTACATTTTTGAATTAGAGAAACAATTGAACAATGCTAATTATTACCGTGTACTTGATCAACCTATTTTCATGGAAACTGCAAAAGATAAACAATATTTTAAAAACTTTAGTAAACAAACAATTTATTTCTGATTCCCAATATGACTATCTTTCAGCGAAAGGCAGGCCTATTATCTCAGATTGCACGAGCGAATCCTACTGGGTTTCTGAATACATTTACCATTTTTTACTTCCATTAGCGTGTAAGCATCCGTCATATCTTAAGGATACCACCGATTTTGGTGAAAAAATTAAAAGCTTGACTGTTCCTCCAAACGCAAGATTTATCTCATTAGATGTTACGAGTATGTATACCAATATTGATAATAAAACCGGTTTAGACGCTGTCCGAAAGGCCTTTCTTCGAAATCCCTGTGTAGATAGACCCGACAAAGAAATATTAGAACTTTTGGAATTATGTCTAACGTGAAATGACTTTGTCTTTAATGAAAAAATTTATCTCCAGACTTCAGGCACCGCGATGGGCAAAAGATTTGCGCCGAGTTATCCAAACATCTTTATGGCTGAGTGGGAACTGGAAATTTCTTCCGTTTCCCCTTTTGAACCTTTCTTCTATGGAAGGTTTCTTGATGATATTTTTATTATTTGGACCGAGTCTTTAACAAATTTTTGGCAATATTTTGAAATTTTTGAAAATACTACGGTATTCAAAGTACCAAGTTTCTCTCAAACAAACAAATTAGACATCAAAGTATTTTTTAAACCAACGGATACTCACCAACTTTTATATAAAAACTCTTTTCACCCAAAACATACTTTTACGGGAATAATCAAATCACAAATTTTGCTTTTTTTTAGAATTTGCACTCAAAAAGTAGATTTGCAGCTTGTAGACTAGTTTTCAGTAAATTAAGAGAGAGGGGCTATTCCAAACGATTCTTGCGCAAAATTAAAAATGACACTGTTTTGGACCTTTTGAAAATTAATGAACCCCCTCCTCCAATAAATAACTTTGGCGCAATACCATGTAGAGGTTCTCAGTGTCGCACCTATGAACATATCCATATGTCTCATTATTTTCAAAATAAAAAAAAACGGAAAAATATTTGAAATTAAAGAACGTCTCACGTGTACAGATAAAAATATCATTTACCTAATTTCGTGTAAAAAATGTGACAAACAATACGTCGGCGAAACCCAGAACGCGTTGCAAACCCGATTAGGCGGCCATCGCTTTGATTTAATTTATAGCAAAAATATACCAATTTCTCGTCATTTTAATTTACCTGACCATTCCATTGAAGACCTTCTTATCATGCCTATTGTATCAATTCCTGACTCTGATATTATCAAACCAAAAACCAAACGATTACAGAGAGAAAGCTACTGGATGGACCAACTCCAAACAGTGGCTCCAAATGGACTTAACATCCAGCATGATAATCAAATGATTCCATTTGTTGCCACCTTTAATCATACAGCTGCCAAAACCTCATCCATCGTCAAACAGTATTACAGTGAATTACAGAACAGATTTCCGAATGTATATACCAAACGACTTGTAATTGCCTATAAGCGCAATAAAAACCTTAGTAATTTTCTGGTCCGTGGTAGACTCGATCCCATTGAATCCAATAATACTTGACCCCCCTCTCTATTTTCTAGCTCATTAAGCATAATATATTCTAATCCTTATATATAGATGTTTATCTTTTCAGAACCTATTCATACTCTTTTCTTTTAGAACAAGAAAACTTTCATATTATAGACTTGTGTTTATTGCAGATTACTCGTGGTTGTTTTTTTAACTTAATACTAACTATGCTAACATCACCTTATCTTGTATTGAACATTTATCTCTTTATTTGTGACCTTGGCCAGTGCTCTACATAGAAGTTTTTAGGAACTTCTTCACTCTTAACACTTAATTTATATAATTAATGGAATTGTATTTCAAATTATATAATTTGGTATCAAAGTGATCTGGGCTTGTCCATCATCAACAATCTTTCTTATCAGAATGAAGAAGACATAGTATAATTCCTGCAGTGACACATCTAACTTACAACTTTCTGTTTCTTTTTCTTAGTAGCCTCCTGAGCCTTTTTCCGCTTTTTACCAGATTTGATGTCTTCTATAGGCAACAATTGTGGAACTTCACCTGAAGACAAACATTTTGTTAACATATCAATTACCTTTAATCAACGTGATTTGAATTTTTATCAGATTATAGAGAGGTCTTCAAACATTAGTGCATTAGTAGGAAAAATTAAACTGCAATCAGACCTAATAAAGCTATAATCATACATTCTGGAACTTAAATCAGACATACTGCGGCTTAAGTAAAATTTGAGCTATATCAAACATTCCGGAGCTGTAATCAGTATCACAATGAAGTATTATATCAAGAAATAATCAATGGAAGGAAATAAAAATCCATGACATAAAGAAATATGAGATACATATAATAAGCAGTAAGCACAAACCATCAGAATCAGTGTCAACTTCTGCATCTGAACTCATCATGTCTTCTTCACTCATGTCAGGCATTGTATTATTTATATCATCATCTCTTTCATCCATTAAATATCCACTCAGATGTATAGCACCTGTTAAAATTATCAAACATCATCATTTCAATTAATGAGGACATACACGCATACATATTATATACATGAGTAGGCCAAGACATTTTTCACGAAGTTAATAAAATTTCATATCACTGTGCATTCTTTAAAAAGGAATTTGGTACTTATACTCACAAATTAGTCAAATGCATTAGGATAAAACTTAAATATCCCAGGTATTTTGCTGTCCATTTGAAAGATAAAATCATCAAACGACTGACAAAATAGCCTTAATTGTATTGACTTCTATTCAAAACCCAAATTAAAAATAAAAGCACTATATAAGTTTTGATACTTACTATTTCCACCAGTAGTGAATAATGTGATTTCTTCACCTTCTGTAAAATTCAGATCTAAGGCTTGTTGCATTGTGCGATGATGTTCCAATGTACATAAAACAAACTCTGCTTTATCTTGTTGAATCCATAATGAAACAGCTCTTTTACCCTTTGGTAAATCTTCTAAAATTTAGAAATTAAAACATAAATTCTTATGGTAACAGTCAATACATAACGTCAAAGGTATGCTATAAAAGAATATTTGATACATTCAAGAAAAAAAACAAACAAACATATTTAGCAAATTGGCAAGAGCATTTATGAAGAAAAAGCAACTGTACCTGTTGTTGGTTCCAACGCAGCCATGGAAACATGAAAGGCTGTCTCCACCACTTGTGTGTAGCGTTTTCCTCCATCTAATGATACGCCTTAAAAAAACAGGTTTTGTAAGTCAGTATGCAAGTTTAATTTAATATTTTGGGAAAGGATTTCAGGCAGTAGCCTCAAGAAACTCAGAGAGAGATAAGACTCTGAGTCTTGTAAGAAGTTAGTCAAACATATGAACCTGTAAGCTTACATAACCTTGGGTCAAAGCAATAAGTTCCTGGAATGTCAATTGCTGTGAAAGTAAATGACCAAATTGCTGATGGCCTTCAGGAGTTTTGCATGGAAAAGATCAATAAATTTCACTCCTCATTGATTTACATGGGCGCAGATCACGGGGAGGACAGGGGGACATGTCCCCCTCTCCCCTCCCCCCCCCCCAATGAGAAAACCTGGGTGCTGACTTTTGTGGAGTGGCCAATGTTGTTCTATGGGTGAAGTGCATTATCATTTCAAAGTACGGTAACTTCACAATTTGACCATTAATGTTGTATACACAAGAAAGCCTATTATTAAAAAAGTTGAGGAGTTGTCCATTTAAAAGCAATAGACAACTTGGCTATTTAAATTTGTCCTGGTCTTTTAAAAATTGACGTTGGCATTTTAAAAAAGACTTGTCTTTTGTAGTTGTGAACAGTAGGCTTAGTTGTCTTTTAGTGGTTAAAGAGTTGCGTAGTATTTCCCTTGCACGTGTGTTATTGAACACGTGTTTATATTGTTCATACTCCTCTCTTGATAAAGCCGGCTCACCTCATAATGTGTAACATAACGAAATGCTCATTCATATAATAAGAGAAGTTATATACTCAGAAATTTCATATTTATCATAATACTTGCCCCAAAACATGTTGTTACTGTCTACTTCTTTCAATATAACCATAATCTATTAGAGACAATCGAGCACTCGAGACCACGACCAAGTCTTTAAACCAGCAAAGGATTGTCGCAAATATGTTATGATTGTCGCGAAATTTTAGAAGCATGGCCTTGACTTTCCGATACATCCGGAAATTATATGGAACTATCAACCAATCAATTTCTTCAAGAGATATTGGAACATATTTTCATTGGGCAATTATTCAACCTTGACCTTTTATGTTAACATTTGACCCAAAGTTCAATTTTACATCAGAAAAGTGAATGAATGAAAAAAAAAAATGGGTTTGCTGATGGAAATTTGTGTTTTGGTTATCATTTCCCTTCTACTCAGATGGTCAACATCTCAGGGATCTTATTCAGGTACACGAAAAAAATTGTTTCATGTTTAGAGATCTACTTTTGAATTGACATATTAACCACAACAATGTTTCTTAATTCAGAAAACTTAACAATTTAGAATGATTTTTTTCAGGACAGGGTAAACCACCTATGTTTGGTGATTATGAAGCCCAACGCCACTGGATGGAGGTAACAGTCAATTTACCAGTTAAAGATTGGTAGGTATGGTAATATATCAAATTGATCTTAGTCTATGACATTGTGGTATTTGTGTGATAATTTTTAGACAAGCTTATATGGCTCAGTTGATCTGAGGTAAAGAACCACAGAGCCAAATAGAACACAAAGGTGATGTTTTATTGTTCAAATTTGCATTAAAACTAAGGGTAACTGTTTATGAGAAACATATTGGACAGAATTTACATATCCATTTTAGTAGTTTAAGATATGCATTTCTTGAATTGTGATAATAACAAAGTATGATTGATTAAAGACTCATATGATTTAGATGTAACTGTAACCTTATCATTTGTTACAGGTATAGAAATACAACTGAGAATGATTTATTGTACTGGGGTTTGGATTACCCCCCTTTAACAGCATATCACAGCCAAATATGTGGATTCATGTAAGTAATAAAGCTTAACTCTTTGAAGATGATAAACTTAGATGATGGCTGAATTTGGATGTATAGAAACAAGAAGAAAGTGATTTAGGTTTTAACATGAATATTGGCATGCTTTTGAGAATAGTGCAAATCTATGTACTTTAAAGTGATACTATGTCTTAGAGTAAACATAAAATTTAAGTTCTCAAGAATGGTCAATATTTTAATCAGCAAACTTACCTGGTGTCATAAAGTTACAACAGAATCCCTGTAAAATCTGGAAAACTGATAAAACTAAGTAATTATTGAAAAACGCTTAATCAATATTAAGTGTTTTTCAATAGTTAATTGCATTTTTATGGATAATTTATAAGTTTTTTGGATTTTTCGGATTATATAAGTATTCTGTTATGTTATTTATGACACTAGATATATCTACTGGATGAATATAAAGTAAATGTTGACACATGTTCAGACCACTATTAAATGATTTTATTATTTTAGTGCTCAGTATGTCAATCCAGAATGGGTTAGATTGAATACATCTAGAGGACATGAAAGTTATCAGCATAAACTATTTATGAGATATTCAGGTACATATATATCTTTAATTCTACTATATGATTGCCATTGGGAGATGTTGGATCAAGGAAGTAGGCAGGGATACCTTTGTATAGTTTAATCTACCTGATTTAAATGCTTTGGTTTTTTATAGAAAGGGTTAAATAGGTGTATAGTTTAAGAAGATATTAATTGGACAAGGTAATTGTTGAGCATAAAAATTTGCCTCCAGACTATCGTCTATAGATGTTAAATTTGTGGGTGGTGATGATTGCTTAAAAAACAGAAAAGAATATTAACTAATGTTTTAGGTTGAACTTTACTTGGTGAAGTATTGGAGAATGTGGAGCTTTGTATTTCATGCCATTGCTAAATTTGTATCCAAATTGCCAAATTTGTATCCAAACTGCCAAACTTTTATTCTACTCACACCATATTTGTATTTCAGTGTTTCTAGCTGACATATTGGTATTTCTACCAGCATGTTTGTTGTATTACATATCTCAAGATGAAGTTGAAGATAAGTCAATGGTAAGGTTGCTATTGAACATGTAGTAATTCATGTGGTATTTAAATATGATTTGCAGGCTGACTTCAACTGATCATCAAAATATACCCTGATGTACATAGAGTAAATAACATCAGGGTACATTTTCATATATTGGTTTGTCAGAGAACAATTTAATTTGCCTGATTTACCTACCCTTTATCAATCTCTAGCTGTTACTATAACTGTTTTAAATGTATTGCATGTTATAGTCAGCTCAGATATCTATAATAAAACAGTGATGTAGAGAGACTTTTATAAGCTGACGATATTAACTGTAATTCATATATTAATGTGCATTGATATGTAAATATTTTTTTTTTTTTCAGATTTATGGATTAATGTGTCTATTACTATACCCTGGTTTGATTCTCATAGATTATGGTCATTTTCAGTATCCTTTAAAACTACACAGTACTCTCTCTAAACTAGTAACAACTTAAAGTAACATATTCATCGTGTGTTTTGATACTTTCTCGCTCTTTATGTAGATGCTGGATAGCTACAGAAGTCAGTCAGATGATATTCAGAAGCAATTAGGATTTCCAATATTAAAAACTAGTTCTATTATATGACATAAATGGTCTTTACTGATATAAGTATATGATCAAACTTCATTTTCTCTCTTAAAGGAACATTTTGGGGTTTGATTTTAATTTTGAATATATGTAAATAGTCTGCAGTAGTACTCGAAAAGTATGAAAATCGCGTAATTCCTTTAAAAAATACTTAAAACTAGGAATTTTAGTATTTCTATATATGTCTTTTCTATAGATCATAGAGTATCTTAGAATGACGAGTCATCATTTTAACATTCAAATACGGATAACACACATGGATTTGAAGACTCAAATTTCGACGGTGAGCTGTGAACATTATCACTGATTGGCTTAGTTAACAAATTCCTGTTTCTAAAGTATGATTATTCAAAAATGGCACTACTGTCTCTGTAAGAATGTTACTGAAATTGGAAAAGATGGTTTAATATTTACTGGTTTTTGGTGTGAATATTAATGTTTCTCCTTAACCTCACTCTAGATATAATGGTATCAGCCTGGGATTAATGATTATGGCTGTAGCCAGTTTAGGTCTCAAACAACAAATTCTTGGCGCAATATTTTTCACATTGGCTTTAAATTATAAACATATGGAATTATACCATGCTCTTCCCTTTTTTATGTATTTATTTGGTGTAAATATACATACTAACTCTATGAAAGGGTATGTAGACCTTTGATGTTTATGTTTATAGTTGATCATGTTGTCAGAGTTAAACTGAATTTTAAAATGAAATGTATTGATACTTTGCTTTCTTTTCTTTCAGAGTGTTTCAAATAGGAAAAATTGGTGTAGCTGTGATATTAACTTTTATGTTATGTTGGTTGCCATTTTTATCTGATATCGATTCATTCAGAAATGTTTTAATTCGTTTATTTCCTTTCAATCGGGGACTGTATGAGGTAGGTTTAAAACATTTCATTGAAATTTAAGCACATGTTTGCTGATGAAAGATTGTATTCTAATGGAGCTTGTTTCATGTTTTTATTGTCAAGCATAATAACTGTATTATATCCAGTATTTTGAATGTTGAGGGCCACATGAATTATCATGGATCCATGTGGGATTGTTGTCCAGTAAGCACTTAAGATCATGGAGTTCAATTCCCCTCTACAACCAATACCAAAGATTTTATACTTAAATTTTTCAATATCTATAAAAAGAGCATAGTTCTGTAAATATAATCTTTATGAGTCAACTTAAAAAATTTGTGAATCCATGTTGCTTCACAAAGAAAAAGTGTCATTATGTTTCTGGCCTTTTGTGAATAATGATCTGTTTTAGGATAAAGTTGCTAATCTCTGGTGTAGTTTATCACTGGTTATTAAATTAAAAAACATTATGTCTCAACAAGCTCTAGTAGTTTTAAGGTAGGCTATATTGTTTTATGTCTATATTGTCATTCTTAACTGAAACTTTATACAGTTATAAACAGCTGTAGAGTTTATAAGAAATTAAGTTTTCAGCTAGATGGTTAGATGCTTAACTCTTCATTCAGAACAAAATCATTTATTGAAATGTGACATCAATATCTCCTGTGATGATATGTGATAATTAGATATTAGATAATGTAAAAATTGAACATTTCAGTTTTCTATCAACATTAGTAGGACTTGTACCATCTGCATTTCATTTGTTATATAAACCTACCTTAACTAACTTCAAATATTCATTGGTAAGTTGTCATGTTATTTACATCAAATGAAACGTAGTTGGGTGGTCAACGATTGTATTTATAGATTTGGAAGTGGTTTTTTTCCCCCCAAATTTCGAGGATTTGCTTTAAGATGTATGTCTTTGAGGACTTCGGTTCAACCAATTTAATCAACCATTCCGTCAAGCATGAGAAAAATATAGTTTTGTAACCAGCCAGATTGTTCAGTTGCATTTTTTTACTTTTGTTTGAAACATTCACCAAATGTACTTATATTTTTGTATTTATTATAGGTGAATTCATCACTAGTATTTTTCTTGTTTTCATTTCAAGTTCATGAGAAATCCATATTAATTCCAGCATTGTAAGTATTTTTGAGTATTTTTGAAAAATTGTTTAAAAATAAAAAATTGCGATTAAACATCCATCCAAGACTGATATTTGTGAAATGTTTATCACATATATTATATTTTAGATCTGTATGTCTATTAGCTGACAAACATCCATATATAGCACTGTGGTTTCTGTCTATTTCAACATTTAGGTAGGTTTTACAATTATTTTGTAAGGTATTGTAAGGCATACTTACAATATAAAACTAGATCAATATTTATGAGACTTTAAGCAACAATGGTAAAATTTGACAAAAGCTTATATTATTGTACCATCGGGACATGTCTTGGAATTGGGGGCCAGCTTTTCAATGAAGGGCATGTAATCAGATTAGCAGAGTAAGAAAACAGTCTTAAGAGGTTTCTTTCTGATTCAGAATTACATCATAATCTTAATTTAAATAGATGTTATTTCACTGTATTCAACTTTTAGAATCATAGTTCATTGCATATATTTGTAATTTCAGTATGTTACCTCTTTTAATAAAAGATGGTTTATTGATACAGTGTTGTGGACTTTCAGTAGTGTTTCTAATATTAGCATATTATTCATCGCAACAACAATTTAGTCACTATACATCTAGATTACAGAATTGGATGAAATTTATGGTAAGTTAATACGAAGACAGGAGCTAAAAGCTTTGCATGTTATTTGGCTAATATAGCTAGAATTTAATTTTCTTTAGAATTGAAAATATGATTATGAATCGATGAATTGCCAAAAGTAGTTGACCTGAATGATTGATTCATATACTAGGTTATTAATTTTGACCTGGTTGTTAAGCATTCAGATTTTAATTTGGTTTTTTTTTGTTTTTTTTTAGTTTTTTTCTTCCATATTTGGAGCAGTTATATTGACAGTTTGTAGTGAAGTTGTACAACCACCACCAAGATTGCCAGATATATTTCCTGTTCTTATATCTGCTTATTCTTGTGGCCATTTCCTATTTTTCTTATTTCTATTTCATTATTGTCAATTCTTTAATAATGTACCAAATTATGTAGAAAAACATCGTAAAGTTTCCCAACATAAAAAGTTTTCAAAAGAGAAAAAAGTGAAATAAAGATACTGATATCAATAATATTCTAGTATTTGGTTATTTGTATAAAATTGAGAAGGGGTTGGTAAAACTCAAGTGGAAGAAGTCAAACTGTTGTTTCTAACCCATAGCTACTAATAAACAGTCAAACTGCAATCTAACTTTATCAATTGTTTGATCCTTTCTTGTTTCCTCAGCATTTCTATTGAGTTGTCAACTAGCGTTATGGAAGTATTGCGATTTGTGGAAATTTTCAACATTAAATTTAGTAGAACATTCAATTAACGATTATATCCAGCAATCATCTCTACAAAATAAATTCTGTCTAGAATTCACCTTATAAATACTGAAAATTGTCAAAATCAACTCTTCAAAATTTATTGTGTAATACTTAAATTATAATTTTTAAATACATGCAAAGTCAATATCATTAGCTAAAACAATTACTTAATAATGCTGCACTTTCACCAAGTTTCTTTGATTCTGTAATTGTCTTATATTTTGAGAGAACAGCAGGGACATCCAAAGATAGTCCTATAGCTTTCATATTATCATCTTGATGAACTAGAGTCCCAATACAGACAATTAACCGGAAAGCTGCTTCATTATCAATATTTCCGTCCAAAATTGAGCCTGCAGCAGACAAACATTGCGACTTTCCCTCTTCATCAGATGTTCCTAATAAGGCAATAGAAAAATTTAGAAGTACCGTTGCTATGGCTTTCTGTATGTGTTTATTAGTTGAATTTTTTAACGGCAATAGGGCGGAGATGATTTGATCACGATTTTCACAATTACTCATGGCACCTTTTGATTGGCTGAAAGAATTAGCAATGATTCGAATTGCTAACATCTGATTGGCTGTTGGTTGATCAGGTGATAGGTATTGATAAAGACCCTCTAAGAATCCTGGTTTACTAGTAAATAATGTGTTAATCTCAGGAGATGTGATACGTAGTCGTAAAATATCTAATGCTGGGAAAACCACATCTGAAATATAAATGAAGCTATTTGTAAATCTGTTATCCTTAGAATAAAAATACTCCTTTTTTTACATCTATGAATTAATTTTCTTAATCAAAATTCTGACACATGAATCATATAAACAGAGACAACAAGTATTTACTTACTTTCTGGCCATAACAACAATCTACATAAGGTAGCTATTTGTTTATCTGTTGATGTTTGAGCCGTTATAAATGTATAAAACTCCTCTAATTCACTCTCACTAAGTTTTTTATCACTCTCTACAGATTGGTTAAACTCTTTTAATTTATCTGAAAATTCAAATCATATTAGTTGATTATTCACTGAAAATTTATTTGTTTTGAAAAAAAGAGCTATATATTGAAATGCAGTAAGGATCTAAATTTTATAGAATAAGTCAATATCATCTTACTTGCAATAAAATATTTCAATAAAAAAAAAAACAGCTTAGCTAATCTTAAAACTTACTCATGATTTGTTGAGGATTAGATTGAGATAAAGTAAGATAGATTGTCACAGGGTAATAGGTATTATTTAGTTGACTGGTACTATTATTAGCTCTATAACTACCACTTCCTATAATAGAATAAAATATACACTAAAATATCTTCTCACTGTATAAGGTAGATAAACTATGATCTTCAAGATTCATCTTTTTAAAATACGGATGCTTCGGATTGGCATGACATTATTCTGTCATCCGAATACAAATCTTCTGTGCAATAAGGTACATATTTGCTAGTTGATAATGTTAATCATTTTCAATTGGTGATATTTCATGTAGGGCCTAAATGAAATACATTTCTCTTAATATTATTTAACTATAACCTATTTCATTTCTTTATTTCTCAATCTTTTTTCTCCTATTTTTTTAAGATGTTTGGTGATAAAAACTATTTGTAATTAATTTGATTACAGGCTAAAATATCATAATATTATAACAGACCTGTAAAAGGGTCCGCTCCATGAGGTTGTGCTATACCAGAATTAGATTGATTGGTATAGGACGGTATGTGACGTCCTGCTCCAGTGAAAGGGTCTCCACCACCAACACTACTACCATTGGCTGCTGGAGCACTGCCTGGTATATATCTTCCACCACCTTGATAAAAAAATATGAAGAAGATAAGAGTAACACAACTGATAAAGAAATTACACTTATTTTCATTGAAATTATTGGATGATTCAATTTGCAGTTTCTATTATTTTGACATGCAAATCCCAGAAATGCACCATCATGACAATTTCACTATCTGTTGCGATGAGGCAGCACACAATTGACTTGGTGTTTATTCATTCTCATCTTTAATAAGCATTATATTTGAATTGCTATTGGCTAACAAAATAAATGAAAATGGAACTGCCATAAGGATTAAAAAATAAGTTAAATTATAAGCTGTATTGTACATTAGCAGAAAGAGCAATGCTAATACCTAATTCCTACATCAATGAAATCTATCATCTATCTATACATACTTGTAAAAGGGTCCCCAGCACTGGGAGCACCTGTATTCAATATAACACCTTTAGTATTATCAACTATAAAATTAGCTACTTGGTCAAGAAACAACTGTGATAGATTATTGTCATCTAAAAAACGTTGAGCTGCAAACCAAGGATCTTCTGTTGTATTGTAGGGTAGTTTTAAAGGAGGTTGACCTTCTTGTATATCCACAGTGAAAACGTAATCATATTCCTGGAAATATAGTTTTATGGACTTATAAAAAATGTGTGGGGCATTACACTTTTAAAGCCCTATTGATGGAAATATTTCAAATTTAGTTATACTTAAGGATATGAATGAAAAACTCTTTAGCCAATATTGTTTCCTCCACTAATCAGGTACTCAATTTGGTAGCGTCTTACTACAGTCTGAAGCAATTCAATGTGGTACAAAACGTGTCACACTGACAGCTCTTACCTGGTATAAAACAATGCGCCCTCAACAACCTATCCCTTAAAACTACTCATAGAGGGTGAAGGCATTTATTCCAAGATTGATGCGCCCGCAAATCAACTTGATCACGGGATGCAAAAAGAAAACAATGGTAGAATTCAGCTTCCTTCGATGAATGTAATAGAATGGGTGAAGCCAGATGTTGAGAATCTATCATATGACTCTGTGGGCACAATACAGATACAGATACAGATTTCTGTTGAGAGTGAATTTAAGTTTACGTAAAACACCAATCAATTTATAGGCAGACTTACAAATCGTATCGATATGGATCGACCATTTTAGATCATTCGATAATGTGATGCCAAGATGTTTATGGAATGGTACGAATTCTAAAGGTTCCTGATCGAGAATCAAGTTTGGTAATTGGCTTATGGGTTTGGTTGAAAAAAGGACTACTTTGGTTTTAGAGGGGTTAAAGCTAACAAGCCAGTCACTGGACCATTGATACAATTTAGAAAGATCATTATTCATAGAGATTTCAATTTCAGATATAAGTGACTTCGTGCAGCCAACAGCTGTGTCATCAGCAAACAATCGCGGTAAGTTTTGAAGAACGTCTTGAATGTCATTTATATAAATGAGAAAGAGTAGGGGGCCTAGCACAGATCCCTGAGGGACGCCAGAATTTAACAATTCTGCCGGTGATAAAGCATCATTAAGAAATACACGTTGGAATCTATTAGTCAGGTAACTAGATAACCAGTCAAGAAACTTACCACCTATTCCATACTTTGACAATTTTAAAATAAGACCAGGATGGTACACACGATCGAAGGCTTTAGATATGTCAAAGAACGCGAAACATGCGAATTGTTTCTTTTCAATTGGAACTAGAATGTCATTGTAAATCTCAATCAGTTGGTGAACTTTTGAATGGCCTGGTCTAAAGCCGGATTGATAGGGATAGAGTAGTTTGTTTTCGTGAAAATAATTATAAAAATGTTTAAAGATTACTCTTTCAAATAATTTACTGATACAGCTCAGTAACGAAATTGGTCTAATTACTTACATCCCAGGATTCTCCTTTCTTATAAAGGGGCATAACCCTCGCTTCCTTAGTGATGGGATAGTACCTGATTCAAGGGATTTGTTAAATAAGAGGTGAAGAGGGTAACTAATAGAAGATGCAGTTTCAGTGTGACAAGTTGATGCATTGTAAGGCTTTAAAGTGAATTCAACTTGCTTTGAAATACTAATGTGAACATTACAATAGGCATTAGTATTCCTTCAAACTGTCGGTTTAAAATGTGAAATGGTTTCTGGGAACAGTTTCTAGCCTATGTGACAAACACGCCACAATCTCACATACTACAATCTGTGAGTAATCTCTAGATATAGTAAGAGATGAACTGAGAGATTTGTAAATGACAATGACATACCTTTCCATTATATAAAGATTTACCAGAAGAAGCTTGAGTCCCACCAGATCCACCAACTATATCTCCTATTTTATTCCATTTACTAGCTGCAGAATCCCAACAATATAAATATACTTTACCACCATCTTTTATCATTTTATTCTGGCCTTCTTTTACTCCTGTCAGAAAAAAATCATGAACTTAATGATTAAAATGTCATTTTAAACTAAATAATCTTTTAAATTAGACAAACAATATTTCTGCTATTCATTTTGAGAATAGCTATGAAGTTGAATTCTATATAACAAGAGAATATCTTGTATAATTATCTATGTATTACATAATTAATTAGGTCTAACTAACCTGGATTAATTAAAGCCTCTGGACCAGGTAAATCTTCAACATTTATATCTCCTATCTGTGTTTGTATAGTAGATCCTGCTATCATTTCATCAAATGCCTTCAATTCTTCAGGTGACGCTATTCTATCAGGATTCTTGGTAAAAACTCTTATAAAACCATCACTAGAAATATTAAACATCAAAATGTTTATTATATATCTAAGTCTAAAATATCAAGCTAAGAAATTGATTTATCTAAAAGACAGGTTTTGGAATTTCTTCTCCATATTCAATGTGAAATTTTAAATAACACCATTAAAAGAACAGGTGCGGCTTTTTTGGTGGTTGATTTTAGACTTGAATGTAAATAGTCTTCAGAAGTACTGGAAATGTCCTTTAAAAATAATTCAAGCTAGTAATTTTACTCACTATTTCTATATATGTCTTTTCTATATATCACAGAGTATCTTAAAATGACGATTTGAGGGCACAAATTTCGATGGTGAGCTGTGAACACTATTACTGATTTGCTTAGCTAATTATTCCCCTTTCTGAGACTAAAGTATGATTGCTCAAAAAAAATGGCCCAGAACTAGTAACAAATTGTGAAAAGCCAAAAGATCTTTTGTTTCTGGTTTTCTTGAACAAATAGAAATTTCAATCATCTGATCTGATCTTAAATCATAATAAAAAATTACCTGGCCCCAGACACAATATCACCATTAGGTAACGTACAGACACTCCATATAGACTGTGTAGGGTGTGGTATAGTCTGTACACAGTCACCTCCCTTCCATACCCTTACAGTCCTATCTTCACTACTAGTAACAAAGTCTTCACCATTAGGCAGTAACGCTATACTATACACATAGTTAGTATGACCATAGTAGGTAGCTATACAATCTCCAGTAGTCAGCCAGCGTTTGATTGTAGCATCATTGGAACATGATAGAAACTCTCCTGATCTGACACTAGCAAGACCTCTTACACAGTCTTCATGACCTGGAAAGAAATCGAAGATTTGTCAGGACTCGATAATACGCCTTTGACGATTACTGTGATATATGCAATCTATAAGCATATTGACACGCATACAAAATAGTGTAGGCTTCCAATTTCTTAGATTTTACTACTAATCTTTACTTTATTATTGCCTTAGTATGTACTACCATTTTTATTTTTTTAGCTTACCTCTAAATGTCTTTTCACATTTACCAGCTTTCCACATCTTAATAGTTCTATCAGCTGAACCTGTTAACATGACACCATCTTCAGACATCGTAACTACAGCCCACACTGCTGACTCATGACCTAAAATAGAGCTTCACATTTGACCTTTCTGCAATTTATTTCATCTTTTGATTTTCAATTATTTCTCACTACATTCTTCTAATGTTTGAAAAACTATTATGTGCAGATCAAGTGTCAAATTGGAACTGAAACAAATATATATTTTGATATAGCTTGATTTCAACCTTCTGTTGTTATTATCTTAACAAATTCTATTATGCTATGGTATTGTTCTTTTGTTTTTTTTCTGAATTAACCTGCTATAATAAGAACTACAATAATGAACTTCTCCAAACCTTCAAGAGTCATAACACACTTTTGATTCAACCAGACTTTTGCAGTTTTATCCCAAGATCCACTCACAAGGAAACCAAATTTACCAGTTGCCAATGTACATACTGAAAAGAGAAAGATATATTGTCATGCAATAAACTGAAGACAAAAATGCAACTTGAATTACATAAAAGTATTAATGTTTAGTTTTACAAAAGCTGTTAAAAACTATTAAACAATTAACTAATGGCTTATTAGTGTTGACATGACTCCATTCATGTTTAACAATTTTCATTTGTTAGGCATAACGGTTAGATGCAGTTGCCTTTAAAATAGCCCTAGAACATTGAGATTATGATGAAAATATTGGTTTTTAATTTCTCCTTTAATCAAATCATTGCAAATTCAGTTAGTTACATGATAGGCACTTACCAAGCAAATATAAGGATTGTCAAGAGGTTTTCTACATTTTGTATGTTATCAGAGTCACTGATACACATAAACAATTTAAAAAACCTCTTTCAAGTCCCTTTGAGAAGAGAAGATAATCATTGTAAAGAATATAAAAGTCACAATAGACAAGTACCTGAACTAGAATGTCCTGTTAATTTATAAATTGGTTGTGGTGAATCTAGAGTATAGGCCAAGATGGTGGAATCATTGCTACCAGTGAATATCAAACCATTAGGATATTTATCATCAGGTGGCATAACACAAACACTTGATACAAAATTATTATGTCCACTCATAACATGCCCCTCTTGATAGCCATTATCATTTCTGAGAAGGAAATAAGAGATAATGCTACAGATTAATACTTGATTCATTTCTCATCTGTTGTTACATTTAATAAAGCTTTGGAAATTCAGGCTTTTACATTAAACAATAAGATATCTTACACCTACATCAACATAATAAAAGATTGTCAATGACAGGAATGGTAATGACATTTTTAATTTTATCTTTCTAGAGTTATTTTGTCTACAACACTGAGTTCTCTATGCTTATATTTTCATACTTGCAAAGACATTCTTAGACTAACAGTAGTATTTTGAGGCTGCTATTCCAATTCTCATAAAAGTAACAGATAAAATCTTTTAAAAAATTTACTTTGCTCAGATAATATTCTATTGGATCTACTATGATTATAAAATAAATGGTAGAAGAAATTAAGAGAATGAAAATGCACTAATTGAACTCTGATTTTTGGATAAATAGCTTATGATCGTACTCGATAGGCATCCAAATTCGTGCCGTCACATCTCTTGATCCCGATAATATCCCGTTTTCTGGATAAAGAGTAGAACAGACGGCTCTAACGTCTTTTTCATGACCAACAACATTACAGCGCAACTTGTAGGGCGCAGCCATGTTTGTTAAGAAACATCATCGTATTGTTAAGTCTACTGACTAAAGCCAGCATATCCTAAAAGATAAGTAGAAAGAGGATAAGTACTGTTGAAAAATTCTATATTTATTTAAAATCATGGTCGAACACAGTCATAGATATAACAAAATTCAACTCAAATATTTTATTTGGCATAACATTTGCTTTGGGATAACAGAAGTATATATGTTATAGCGAACATGCCAATGGGCGGAAGTAAACAGAGAGTTCCACTTGTTCAAGAAAAAAAGCCAAAGGAAAATGTCAGGAATAAAAAGAAAAAGAGGATCAGAAAGTGATACAGACGATAATGCAATATCGGCTGATGGTATGTTTAAACATTGGTTGATTGCATGCTCAGTGTAGCTTCAGAATTGCAATCATCAACCAAGACTCAAACAAGAACCATTATTCCCATCAAACTCCTCACTGACAACACTCAACGTGGAGTTACTGCCCCTAAATTGCTGTAATATAGATTAAGCAAAGAATTCTTCACTCAATCCCAACTATTTACATCCTCAAAAACACTTTTATTATCCAGACCTCATGAATAGAATTACTGCTATGATTTTTCAAACAAAAACAAGACAATTCAAACCAAATACAACTGATGTTTGTTTGATGGTAATTATGTTTGATACCCGTTGTGAAAATCGTGTCTACGACTTACTCATGGGCAAACATACAGACAATATTCAGTACTTCATAACTAAAGGACGAGACACAATGTTTTTCTCAAAAAATCGTCAGTGTGCGTTCGTAAACAACAGGCCTACAACAAAAGTGATTGGGATATATCTGGCATGTTTGGTTGTATGCATACAGACATATTGTTGTGATAGCTCTGCAGAAATCTACAGGAGGGGCCTAAGTCCCCATAAAAAGTGTGCGCTGACTACACGTCCCAATATTAAAATGTCATAGAAAAACCTGCATTACATCAAAAATCTGTTAATGTTAACCAGTTTTAATAAATTTTGCTAATTTTACACCTGGTCAAGGTGAAGGTTGGAGAAGTTGTGAAAATTGATGTCAAAATTTCTAACAGAAATTAACAGCATTCACTCTATAAACACAAAAATCACTTATCGAACGAGGTATGAGACCAAGACTTCTTGAAACAAATAGGCCTACATACAGCTGAACACAACTTGGAAGAAGTATTTCAACAACTATCTGTTTATGCTTTAAATATCAGAACATGCTTGAAGCTGTAGACTACTGCTTATCTTCTTCTTTGAAATTAAACTTTATTGCTAACTTTTGATGTAGTCTACCATATATTGATCACAATATATTCTTATGGATTTCAGTTAAGGAAGAAGATGGAATGGATTCTCTGCCTGCATCGAGATCTGCTGGCCGAGTAAGTCTTAGTAGATTGTAACGTTTAGTACTATAGTATTATTCAATATTCAGTGTTTTATGAAAACTTTTTATTGAAGAAATCATCAAACAAAGTGTATATTGTGATAGTTTTTGTACCTTTATGTGTGGCTAATAAGCTAATAACGACATAATTAGAGGATATAAAGATCAAACTGAACCAATACACTATGAAATACGCATAAAGCATTATATAAATGCTTATTTTCTGAATATTTATCATTTGACATTTATCATGCTGACAATGTTGTGAGGAAGTGACAAATCCTGTTTCTGAGGCTGTGAGTCAAGGTCTGGAATCGGGAATATTGAACCTTATATAAGCTTGCCCTCATCAGTTTGGTTCAATGGTTCCATCTTATATTTTGATCATTTGCAGCTTTCTGATTCATATTTAAAAAAGAATAAGCTGATATAGATTTATTCCTAACAAAAATCACCTGTTCCATTTGATTTTATTATTCTCAAAGGTATCATGGATTTATATTTTTCAGGTCCGGAAAAAATCTGCAAAAGTTCTTGAAATGGAAGAATTTGAGGAGGCTGAGAAAAAACAATATAAAAAGCCTGATTCAACTAAAAAGCAAGTCCAACCAGTACAAACACCTACTAAGAAACTAAAAATCAAAACGGAAGATGCTGAAACTGTTGAGCCTGAAATAGAAACAAAGTCAACAGAAGTAGAACCCGAAGAAGCTGTGGTCACAAATCCAGTTACTCCTCCCACTAAAAAATCAGGCAAGAGTAGTGTTATCAAGTTACTACTGAGTTCACCTGCTGTACCAACAACACCAGCAGTTAGCACGAAAAATGTGACTAAATCAAAACAAGCAGAAGTTAAAAAGGAACCAGAATCTCAAGGAGTTACAGCAAGTACAAAAAAGGCAATCAAATCTAAAGTGAAAATTAAAGATATGACGTCCCCTACTAGGACTGCTCCTCCTGACACACCTTTACAGATTGATACACAAGCTGATGTCAAGCCAACTATACCCTTGACACCTGAGCCACTAACCACCCTGATACCTCATTCAACAATTTACACCATGTCTGAAATTGCATCCATATCACCAGCCCCTTCACAAGATGGAAGCCTAAAAATGAAGTTGATTCTGTCACCTAAACAGGAATCAACTGACATTCCTGAATTTAGCATGCCTGATGCCACACCTGTGGTCAAAAGTATTAAGAAAGTAAAGAAGAAGAAGGAAGAGCAACCAACTGAAAGTACATCAGTACCTTCTACAACCAACAGCAAATCCCCATCAGAAGCCATGCCAAATCTTGCTGCATTAGTGAATGCGTCTGCTACCAATGAAAGTGTGCAAAAGAAGAAAACTATTAAACTGAAGAAGTCAAAGAAAGAACTTGATTTTGTGTTTGAAACATTGAAGGACACTTTTGATCCCCATGATGTAGATGAAGAACCACAACTTGTTATAGCGGATCCATCACAAGAAGTGGAAAAGAAGAAGAAGGTTGGAAATAAGTTAAAGAAGAAGGCAAAGTCAGCCCTAAATGATAATGGAGGTATGGAGAATTTTTTTTTGTAAACTAAAAACAGTGTGCAATAGATGATTAAAACAATTCCATCGTGCCCAAGAAGTTGGTCAATTTGTTCTTGGATCAATAGAACCACAGACAGAAAACAATATCTGTAGTTCCTGGAATTTAATAAAAGATACAGATTGAAATACATTTTAAAACAATTATTCTTTTTTTTGACATTATGAGATCAAGTTTTTCTCAAATAAAGCAAACTTGCAAACAGAGGCTCAAGATACCCTTAATCAAATAAAAAGTCTAAAGAAAACTCTTTCATATCTGATCAAAGTATAGCATATGGTAAACCCATGCTTTATTTGGGAATTAGAATTACTATATAAATGGATCTGAAAATTTTGTATTTTACAGAGAGTACAGTGGGACCAGGAGGAAATATTGCTACACACTCAGTTGGAATTGATAAACAAGTTTTTAAGAAGAAAAGAAAACTTAAGACTGAATATCGTAAAAAGGTTTGGATTATTATATTTCAACAGTATAAAGTAATCAAACTTAAGATTCAAGTACTGTTTAACATTTTTTAGATAAGATAATTTTGATTTGACAACCATGTAAAAAATATAAAATATAAAACATAATCCGTAAAATGTACAATTTTTGGAAATGTAATTAAATTGCTAAAAGGGAGTATTAGAAGATCTGCATTGAAAAATTTTTTATGAATGAAACGTCAATGAATTTGTATTCAGATTGAAAAAAGTGGGTATTAAGTCACATGGTAAGGGGGTTTTTAAATTCTTGTGGAAATTATAAAAAAGGGTTTTATTAATCTTCTTATGGGAAATGAATAGAATTTTGTCTTCTTATTTATAGCCAAAGATAAAGAAAAATAAACGGCCACCAACTGCTTATACATTATGGTGCAATGCCCACAGACATGAAGTTCTCAAAGAAAATCCTAAAATGGGTGAGCGTTCTTAACTCTGAAAGGTTTTTAATCATTTCTCTATTTGCAGGGACAGATTTAATTTTTTTTATGATAAAATTTTTCTAGGAAGTAATCCCATAACAGGTCTTAAGTGGCCTTCAAAGTATAGCTATCACTACGAATAAGAATAAAAAATTAAAGCAAACACATCACTCATGCAACTGAGTTATGTTCGGGACTCACGACCACTGTCATTTCACAATCTGTTAATTATTGCTTTGGTGTGAGGGCACCTTAAAATGATGATTATTTTTAAACTATTTTTAGATTTTTCTCAAATGAGTCGAAGACTAGGTGTTATATGGCAAGGTTTATCTAAAAAAGAAAAAATGGTAAGATATTCCACTAATTGTCTTGTATGAATAATCTTAGACATTCTTTCATGTTAAAAAGGCACTAGAAGGTGTATAGGTGTTTTAAGAACTGTATATAGGTGTTTCTATTGGTGCACTGGAACCCTAGAAAGCTCTGAAAGTGATAACATCAATTGCAAATTTTGGAAGAAGAAATTGCAGTTTTTTGATAACATTAACTGATATAATTTTTTTGCATTTTGAATAAGGCATGGAAGAGGAAGGCTAAAAAGTTAGCTGGTAAAGGTTCAACTTTGATTAGTACAGGAAAAATGAAGCCGTCAACATCCACACAACCAGCACAATTAGTTCAACAACAAGCTCTAAGTATAGTAACAACTCCCATTGTCCACACGTCTACAGCTCTAAAATCACCCAATTCTCTATCAGTAGACAGAAATAGAAAACAAGCAGTAGATGATACAATAGCAGTTGCCTTCCAAAGGGTAAAATTTTGTGATATTCTAACACCTGAGTTATTTGAGCTAATTCAATGATAATAATTCATAATTCTGTCATGGAGTCACATAAAATGCTGAAAACTGACTGATTTGTACACTACTGAACTCTATCTGCCAAGTCATTTTCATTGCTAGAAATTCAAAGTGAAATTCATAATTCTATTTTTCTATTTATCATTTTTTATAATGAAATCTTAATAGAAAATGATTTATATAAGGGAATTGTACACAAAAGTGGAAGGCTTCTAATAAGGTTGAATTTGGTATGTTTTCAGGGTTTAGGAACTGATCCTGTAGATGTGGCAGCACATTTAAAATTAATGGGAGAATCCTTATGTAATATTGGTATGAGATTACAGGAAACTAAAGTAGGTTCATTTCCCCCTAATTTTTATGAAATATTTAGGTTTGTATATTTGTTAGGTTAATCTAAAAATAGAATAATGTATACCTAAGGACATGTTCAAAAAAAAAAAACAAACAAAATAATTTAGTAAGAAGTAAATAGAATGTGATCTAAACTTTGTCCAACTACTAATTACTGTGTTAAATTTATTAGAAATAGTATCTTGATACTTTATATTGTGTGTGAGGCTTACTTTTTTGTTTATGTATCTATATGAGGAATGTAGGTCTTTTCCTTTTGGTATCTGTTTGTTCTTTTGTAAGACTCATTCTTTTAGTCTTTGTGTATTTGTGACTCTTTATCTCATCTCTTGTGACCACTTATAACAACTCGTGTGTCTAATGACTCTTTTATGTCAGTTCTTGACTCTTGTAATGGCTCTTTTATATGTGTTCATGTTTCCCTTTTGTTTCTTTCAGCTTTGATGACTTGTAACTATATTAGTACTATTTAAATGTGTGTTTTGGTTCTGTGAATAAGATTGTGTCCCTTGTATATGATTATTTGGTTCTTGTGTTATTTCTTACTCTATATATCATTAGTTGGCAATTGTATCTTATATTTTTCTGTATTTCTGCTTATTTGCTTGTTTGTTAAAAAAAATTAACATATACCTTATGTGACTCTTTTTAGATAATTAATTCTTATTTTTGACTCATTTTCCAGGGTCATATGGCTGTTCAAGGTGGACTCTCAGTGCTTTTGGACTCATTAATTTGTGCTTGTGGACCTCTTATGTGCTTAACCCAGCAACTGTATGAATTGAATGGTTGTGACCGTAATACTCATGCTAAGACATTAGACAATATAGCCTATATAATGCCAGGACTTTAACCAAGTAGATTTAGTGTTAAGAATGTACACAAACTCATTTTACATACATGCTTCATTTTAATCATCACTTGTTTATTTGTTTTGTTTGGATTGGGATATTTTTAGACCAGAACATTGCTGTTATATATTGCTGGTTCGTTTTTTATCTTATTTGGTAAAGCTGCGAATATTGATACAACAAGAGACCTGAAAAAACCATTGGAATGTCATTACCATGACTTATCCAAATAATTACTTAAACCACAACCCCTTAAGATGAAAACTCTTTTTATAAGAATAAGCAAATATGGATTCCAGACGTACTCAGATAGTGTATAAAATGATAGGTATGCAAAAATGGTTCTTTACAGAATCAGATAAAAAAAATTCTGTCCACACTGTATATTTGAACCTAATTTTGTCCCACATTTCATAAAGCCTCCTGCATGTTGATCTATTTGTTAAAAGTAAGTGAATTTTTAGTCGAAAAATCAGCATCTATTCCAGCTTCTGACAGCTTGTTTTTTAGTTGTTGGCTGGAGTATGGTCATAAAACTTGGCCCTTTTTGCTGCACCTCAGAAGAGGGCTTTAAAACTTCAGAAATTGAAAATGTGGTTTAAATAGACATAAATAAGATAATTTCAATTATCGGCTCTCACACCCTAATACCTTATTTTAGTTATTTAGTTTTTTTTTTTATATATTATCTCATATTGGTACTTTTTTTTTTGCAAAAATAAAAAGTAATATTGAGAATAGTATTCAGTATTTTGATATACCAATGGTTATTGGGATTGTTGAGTCATGGTAGATGAGTTTTTATTTTTACATTTCACATTGCCCTTGAACATTTACAGCTTTAATGTAATGAAGCTCAGTATGCTTTTAGTTGTACTAATTGTTGCATTCCTTAGGACAACTGGCAATACTTATTATTCTTTAGAATCAGTAAACTAGATAATCACACATATCTAGATATCTGACTAATGTAGAACTGTCAATTCCCAAATAGTTTCACTCGTTTGAATCATGTCCATTAAGATAGATTGTGTTGGCATATTTTAAAGTTTGAGCCAGTGCTTCTGAGAGTTGACAAGAGACTTTTGAGCCTGCTGACTCATTTTCCCATCACCACTAAAGATTCCTTTTCCTATTTTTGTTGGTTTCCATTATTACCCAGTTATTTATAGAATATGACTTAAAAGGGATTTAATTAGTAATTGCTTTGTTGTAAAGTGTGAATGGTTTTATTTCCTTAGAAATACACAGTATTCAGTAATTATTGTGGTGTATTAAATTGAAATAAACAATCACACTAACTTATCAAAACTAAATTAACTTATATTTCAAGCCCAAAGAATTAATAGCATATCTGTTAAAATTCACAGAAAAACACTCTCTACAGAGAACAACTTTATCATTCAACAATTGACATCTTATGACATGAGATGCGCACGCAGCTACTACTTCATTTTAGCTCGAAGCTTCTACTGGGAGAACTTCAAACTTTGAAGATCTATCGTTTTCAAAAAGCCACTGGCTATTTAGTGGTCGGTGAAAAATAGACGGGAGAGTAAAATTGCTCGAAAATATTTTCAAATTATACCTTAGGGTCAAATTTAATAGAACAGAAGAGAAATGAAATTCAGTTTTATGTCCTACTTTTCTGTTTCTGTTCTGGCGGTCAGTGCTCTCTCGAGTCTATTTGATGAAGGGTTTCAACACAAGAAGTTACTAGTTGTAAAGTAGACATGTGAATAGCTTCATAAAACAAAGCTGTGCAATGATCCAGGGCCAGTGAACTTATTAAAATGACCTGTTTTGTACATCACAAAGTAGTTTGCACATCATTATATTTGACCAATCATACTTTAGTCTCAGAAACAGGATTTTTTAGCTTGGTCAATCATTAATAGTGTTAACAACTCACCATCAAAATTTGAGCCTTCAAATAATGAGTGTCCAGAGTTGTTGGCGTTTGAATGCTTTAATGACAACTCAGCACTTTTTATACGCCTACATGAAATGGGGGACATATATTGCCGTCACCCATGTAAGTCTGTACGTCTGTCCACAATTGCTCGTAAAAACACTCAAGAAGACACAATTCTTGACTGAATTCGACAAAAATTGGTGTGATCGTTTTTAATCACCCAAGGACGAACTCTATTGAAAATCAGAAAAATTGAATATATTAAGAATGAGTTATTGCCCTTATTTTTAAAAAGCGTTCAAGTTTTAATCTGTAAGCACTTTAGAAGGCCCATTTTCTTTCAGATATTGACGAAACTTTTATTCAGTATGTCCTCAAAAAGTTCAAAGGAAGTGTATGACTGAAGATTGAATATTTCATACTGGTCATTGTTATTGTACTGCTAAATATTTTTATTCAAAATCAAAGCTGCCAGTGGACATATATCACCTTGCCTTGCAAGCTATCTTTTAAGACACTCTGTGATAATAGTACTTCTAAAGACTATTTACATATATTCATGACCCAAATCAACCCCCCAAAATGGAGCACTTGTTCTTATAAAATTCATTTGCCTTCAATTTTGTACAGTATAGCCACATTTACTAAGTTTTTCACTGGGTTATGTTTAAAGTCTGTGGTTCGCCATTTCTGGGAATTAATTTGAGTCTTAAATATATATTAATAGTCTTGTTAATAAAATATACTTGAAACTTTAAATTTCACTTCCTATATATACATCTTTTCTATATATAGCAGAGTCTAAGAAACGAGTCATGCCTTTAAAAAAAACCTTAAAAATGCATGTATTTGAAACGAAGGTACTTTTGATCAAACAGATTGTGAGTCTGTCCCTTAAAGCCCGTAAGTAATTCGAACTATTTAATAATTGTCAGACCTCCTTATTTTACTATCATAACTATACAACAATATCTACATTATCAACATAATAAACATATTTCTTTCTGTCAGTGAGGATCTAATATAGTACTAGGAACTATTCAAAGATTAAAATCAGGATGGATTTCAGACTCTACAACCTTTTTTATACATCATAATTTACATGCAAATTGTAATGGAGAACTCATTCCCATTTTGAAATGTCTATTAAATTTCCTGTACACGACATAACACTGTAACCTCATGAAAATTCAGACTGCGAAATTACAAAGACATAAAGTGTATTGTAGACAGAAAATATGAAAGTTCAAGCTTTCATTACAGAAAAGATATTAAGGGAAAATATAGGCTATTTGATTAGAGAGGAGATTTTCTTGGTGAGCAAACTTAATTATTCTATGTACAATATTTTATCATATTATGTAGTGTAAAGAACCTCAAGAAAGTAGATAACAGGGACAATGACATCAAGATTAAGGAGAGTTTAAGAGTAATATTTTAAGATTATTGATTAAATTGTTTATGGATTAGAAGTAATAGTGCAAGATTTATGTTCTTAGATGCAGTTTATGTCTAATCTAATTTCAATTTTGAGATGAAAAGGGACAAGATATGGCTGTATGATCAACCACAAACCTAGTACATGGGTTAATTTGTGAGCTTTAAGTTGTAGAGCACACTCTCAGTATCACCTTAAAGGTTGTCATTCCAAATTAAACAGTGCTAGCTCACTGATTTTGCTGAAAATTGTTAAGCATTTGAGGCGACTCAAAAGAAATGATGGCAAGAGTATAAAGAAATATTTGTTATTTTAATAAAAAAACAGATTAGTTTCTACTTCAACCATCTAAATATCCCAGACTACATAATTTGTATCACATTGATCAAGGAAGTAGACTCAAATAATAAGATGCTTGAGGACTCTTCCAATACGTAAGATGCATATCTGTATATAATATCTTAAACTTGACTACACTGTTCAATGACCTTATGCCATTAATATGAATACTACTTATCAAATATTTGTGATGATTGTTTTAAATTTTAAATTTTTCAAGTAATTTTCATCCCAGTTATGAAATGAGCTTCTGATTAGCATAGTTTGGATTTTAGCACTTTAACTTACTATTCTTTTGCTTCTTAATGTTTTAGTTTTTGACTACATTTTCGATTGGATTGATGTGGAAAATATGTATACATTTATAGTATTTTTGACTTGCGACTTTGTTGACTTCTGGGCAATAGTAATTGTTTTTTTTCGTGTCTTTGACAAACTGAAGTTTTAATTAGACTTTTTAATTTTGTTTTGGAAAATGAGTTGAACTGGATGGAAGTTTATGCCAGACAAGGTATAACTTAGAAATAAGATTTCTCTTTAATATCTATTAAGATTTATGGTACAAGATCATTCTAATATTTAAGTAACTGTATGTTAGAATTTTTATCGAAGATTTATCTTTATATTAAATAGCTTTCTTACGTGTAAGTTGATTTATTGCGAAGTAGAAATATGCTTTAATAGGTTAATTGAAATACGTCTTTATCAATAAATTTGAAAATTGAAAAAAAATATATATTCGACCATAATTATAATAGCAAATAAATCTTTGAACCTTCAGGTATGTTACTTTAACCTTGATGATAAAAGGGAATGGATCTGCAGTTTTATGTCCTTATTGTCAAAACTGTACCAATTTGGTATCAAATTCATATAAAATGCTTCTCCAAATATTTCAGCCTACAAGTTTAAACCAAATTTTTTTTTTAAATTTGCAGAATATACTCCTTTAAAGTATCAATCTACATGCAATAAAATCATTTGTTATCAGTCTATATTACTGGTTACAGATGTCCTGTTATTTACCTGGACATCTCCTTTAAATATGGAATAATATAGCAGCAGGCTAGAAGTAGGAGTTAAGAGTAGAAACAAGTAGAACTTGAGACCATATTGAAGACAGCAGTATGATGGAAAATCTGAGATATTAGTTGACATTATAGTGAATATCATATAGACAGTGTAACAATAGTCTTACTCTCATATATTTCCATTTCTTACTTTGAGCTTAATGGATCCGTGTAGGAAATGAATTATCTGAAGATGTAAGTATAGTTGTTTTATTTTATCTATGTTATGACAGTAAGACT